CCTATCCCCTGTGTGCCTTGCTCCCAGATTGAATCTGGGCCGATATGACGATCATGGATGTTTAGTAGTGTTTGAATTTTAATTTTTTTTTTCTATAAATCCAAATCACTTGAAATTTTAGGAGTGTGTTTATAAATAATATTTAAATCTTTGAAAAATATCAAAAAAATATTTTATATGAAATAAATTGACCAAAATACCCCTGAATCATTTTTGGGGTATTTTGGTCATTTATTTTTTTGCCAATAATTTTTTTAATTTTATTAGGTATGCCTTGATGAGAAATTTACATGCCCAAATTTTCAAGTGATTTAGATTTGTAGAAATGAAATTAAAATTCAAACACGAAATGAGGTAGTGAATGTCAGATTGGCTAAGATTCAATTTGGACCGCTGAGCCATATGTTTATATGAGCAAATATCAGCTTTTTCCATATATATATATATATATATGAGTAATGATCCTATGATACCCTCTCATACCATGTAGGACTCTAAAGGATCACAATTAAATTTGGCACAGACATTTAAAAAACTCAAATCCCACCCCCATGTAATAATTTTTTTAGAGATTTGTGCCAAATTTAATGGTGATCCTTTGGGGTCCTACACACATAGCTGTGGAGGGTCTCATAAGATCATTATTATTATTTATATATATTGGGTTTGTCTAGAGTTAACAGCCCCTCAAAATACAAAGATTCAAGTTAGAAAGGGTTGTGAAGGGTATATTTATCAAAACAATCATTATTTTTTTATTATAAATTATTTAAATAGATCACTCTATTATTAAACGAAGGCAAATTTGAAATTTTAACAAAAATACAATGACATTTTGAAAGTTAGAGTGTCATTGTCCTTAGTTGAAATTTCAATTTTATCTCTTATGGAAATGACAAAAATCCTTTGTTTTATAGTACTATTTCTATATTTACCCTACAAAAATAACTTTTTTAAAAAAAAATACACAACAAAATTAATAAATCCACCTTTCACGGCTCTCTTTATCTTGAACCTTTGTAATTTGAAAGGTTGTGAAGTTTAGAATATCCTATATATATATAAAGCGCTTTCGGCAACTTAGAAAAAAAAAAGTGTCGGGCAACTTGAAAAAAAAAAACGTCGCGGGGAGATGTACGTATAACCAAAAAAAAAAGAGAAAAAAAAAAAACAGAAAAACAAAAAAACACATCAACTCATCTGCTAGATGACAGCAATGGATGGCTGAGAGGTTCTGTTTTTTTGTCACGGTCCCGCAACTGCACTCGTTTTATATGAACCCCTTCTAAAATAGGATTTTAATAAAATTAAGTTTTAAAAATTGAAATCTAGTTCCTTCCAAAACTTATGAAAACTAGGTTGGTTTGGAGGTTCGACCCCTTGACTGGTTGGTGAAACGGAAATTTCACTAGAACAGGTTGTTTCCATGCTCAAATATCCTCAAATTGATCATCTCGATATCAAGATGCATTGATATGAGAAAAAAAAATGGATTTCAAGCTTTAGAAATAGTGCATCTTGTAACGCATTTTTTGACTGTAAATTTTCAAGATTTCATAGATATGTTTGATTTACACGATTTTTTAAGTATTAAATTTTATAATTAAAAATAAAAATATATTTTAAGGCTATCATACGAGATTTCCAATATTGAAACCACATTTCTCAACAGCTCTATACAAAACGCACCTTAAAATATTAGATAGTTTTTATTCAATCTTGAATCGCCTCTTTCAAGCTTGAGGCATTATTTTTTTTAAGCCTACAGATAATGCAATTTGGAAAGTTTTTTTTTATTAAGTATTGTGCATGGGTTGATGAGATTCCCGAAAGTTTGGGGTCCTATAGATACTCCTAGATTAGGTTTTGTCAAGAGATTAAATAGATGGTTTGCTCCCTCAGGAGCATGAGATCTTTCGCTTTTAAAAAATGGAAAATTGTTTCATGCATGACTCTATGCGGTCCAAGGTATAACACATCCATCTTAAAGATAAATATAAATAGGTGGTTCATCTAAAAACAATTGAAACTAACTATCCAAATGTTTTTTTAATAGAACTATTATTTTTAATTTTCAAATTTTATTTTATTGTTTCATATTCATGATGTCTTACGTATATTTTAAAATTAAATTAAAAAATCCATCTCAAAAGTAGATTTTTAAAAGGTGACTCATTTATACGTTAACTCAAACAAAGTTAAAAACCATATGTTCTATTAATGACGTGTTGAGGGTGTGCAGGAGGAAGAGTACAAGCATTTTGAGGAATCTTTGGATTCCATGATCAACAACAACCCCAAACAAGTGGTTGGGATTAAGGACTGGTAAGTCATTGTCTGATTATCCAAGGTCATTTTACCTAAGAGACAGAGTGAGCAAGCGATCGGGTCAGGTTTGGATCTATATAACTAAATTTTAATTTTATTATTAAATCATTTATATTATAGAAATAATAATAATAATAATATATATAATCATTAGGTTGGGTCAATCTAGATCCAAACCGGATTGACCCAACCTGATAAGGTATATAATGCATTTGAAACTAAACTTAACCCGAATCAAATAATGGGTCCAATATTTGAATCCAGACAGGTTGATGGCTCGACCCCACCCCATTGCCACCTGATGGATTTATGTACGTGTTTGCATTTGAATGTCCCATTGCCACCAGATGGATTTATGTTCGTGTTTGCATATGAATGTCAGGTGGACCAGGAGCCGTTTTGCGTATTTGAATCAGCCTCCACTTCAATACATGGATCCTCCAAAGAACTCTTATGTCCCCCAATTCTGGTGCTGCTACTCCCCCCTTCCATCCCAGGCCTCTTTCCTTCACGTTCACTGAGTCTTAAGTCTCTCTCTCTCTCAATATGTGAACACTTACGCCCCGCAAATTCTGGTGCTACTCCCCCTTACATTCCCCGGCCTCTTTCCTGCGCGTTCACTGAGTCTAAGAGTCTCTCTCTCTCTTAGTATGTTTGTTTGTGTTTGTGTGCTCATTGTTTTTTTTCTCTTTCAATATGTTTGGTTGTGTTTGTGTGCTCATGTTTTTTAGGTAAGTATTTTAAAAAATAGCAAGTAAATGGGGATTTAGATCCCTGTTTTTTGATGAGAATGGAGTTAGAGACTTCATCACGAGACTCAACAATACTATCACCAAAGCCCCAATCCATTCTAGTATCATGTATTTGTGTATCGTATCATGTATTTGTGTATGTAGTTAGTAATAGAATCTCTATTTGTAGAGACACGTTTTGCGTTATTGAACAATCTAGAAGAGGCGATGTATGTAACATACGTATTTGGAGTGAATGAAGTTTTTTACTTGGACTCTCTCACTCAGTGTATCTGTGATTAAACAGCCCTTTAACAACATTTTAATATTTTCGCTGGGCGCAAGGTCACAAAATGTTTTAGAGCGTTTTATGTATGGACACCATTATCCTTTTTATTACAAGTTGATGTAACTTTTTAAAAAAATTACGAGAAGCGCTCTATCTTATGCGGCACTTTTTATTTTTTATTTATTTATTTATTCCTAAATTACCCTCTTATCGGATAATTACTATCCAAGACAAGAGGGGCTACTTTATACAGTCTGGCGTTTGGTATATCATAATTTTTGTTATTTGGTTGTCTAGTATTAGTTATACCAGACATTACTCGTGTGTAGTCGAACTTATATTCTAACGTGTCTGGTCTTCATGATACCGGATATCTGTTCAAATGCCCCAAAACCCCATCCAGCCCTTTTCCCATTATTTCTTCTTTTCTATCTCTCTATCTATTTCTCTCTATCCAGAGCTCTCTCTCTGCGGAGCGGCCATCTATAAGGTGCTAATCAAATAGTTTTCATCTCCTTGTTGGATTCAATGTTTTTAATTTGTCATCATTTTTGTACCTATTGAATCAAACTCTAGGGCTTTAATAGTTGGTCCAATCCTCAAAAAAATTACACAAATGTATAATAATTGTGTATTATTTTGAAAAAAAATACAAGTAATTACGGATTTGGGGTTTGGGGGTTAAGAAACCTAATAGTTGATCCTAAAACCTAACTTAAACAATAAAATATTTCAACATTTCAATAGGACTTTGGTAATGGAATAAATTACCAGTATTTCGGAACAAATTTGAGGCATTTTGGTTGAGATTTTAAGGAGAACAAGAATGAAATGGGCGCATGAATGGGCACATTTGCTTTTTGAAGGGCTGCAAGCAGCTATCCGATACTGAAAATACCAAACACCACTCTAGCTTGACATTACTTGACAAATGCGTCATTTGTCTTAAGCCTCCTGTCTGGTATTGTTAAAACCAGATACGAGGCCAATTTAAAAAATAAAAAAATAATAAAAAGCTGCAGGGAAGGGTGGTCATTGTAGTTTTTGGAAAAAATGACATCAAATGGTAATATGCGAACATAAAAAGTGTCCATCCATAAAAACCTCAATGTTTTTTATTTAAGGTGGTGATGATTTTGGGGCACAAGAACCTAAAGTAAAGTGCTCATACATATTTTCCTCAATAACAAGAGATCCACTAAATCATAACTCTCACTAAATAAAACTGCTCGTAAATATTTTCCTCAATAACAAGAAATCCACTAAATCATAACTCTCACTGGGTTCAAATGCTACTTAAGCTTAGCGTCTTCCACAAAGATGTCACAACGTTCATTTTATTCCAGAGATTCATGGAACCCGGAGAAAAGCAAGAAAAAAGGGACTACAAAGAAGAAAGACTATAAAATGTAAATAGTGATTAAAGGGTCACATTATTTTACAAAATTATTAAATCTTGCATATTATTTTATTTAAATATTGAGAGAGTTAATTTCAAGTTTCATTTCAACCATGGGTTTCTTAGAAAAATCATCATTAGAGCCATTTTCCAACTACTTGAGGTTGGCTATATGAATATTAATCCGTCTTTCTATGCTATCAAGGGTCTCCCCATGTCTTTTTTTTCACTACTTTCAACCATGTCTTTTTGGGTTTACCCATTGCCTTTTTTTAGCCTTGTATTTAAATCAACTCGCACTTCGTAGCAGGTGTTGTATTGCGTCTCTGCTGCATATGACCAGTTCACTTAAGTCTACTTTCTCTTATCTTATTATCTATTGGAGCCACACCAAAGTTCTCACAAATATATTCATTTCAAATTTTATCCATCTTTGTCTCACCACTCATCAATTTCAGCTACACTCATCTTATGGGTATGTTGTTTTTTGACCATCTAACATTCCGCCCCATAAAGCAAAGGTGGCCTTACAGTTGTACTATAGAAGTTCCTCTTCAGCTTTATTGGTATGCATCAATAAATTATGGTTATACATCTCCACGTCGCACACCTAGCTCTAATTCTATGCATAACATTTTTCCCAGTCTTTATATTTTTCTAGATTATTGACCCAAGATATCAAAAGTGCACTCTTTTTGATATTTTTTTAATGTCAATCTTAACTACTTGCTCGTCTCTACTGCTATTATTACTAAACTTGCAGTTCAGAATAACCAAAGTGCTTTTATTTAGAATTGGAAACCATTACAAGAGAATACATTTTGGTAATTTAACCTCGCTTGAGTGGCTTGAACAAATGACAAAATACCCTTTGGATGTTCATACTAGCAATATGGAATAATTACTTACAATAAAAAGGCGATTTTTGTGTTGCTAATCCTAAATAACCATTGGTAACTACCAAAAAAAAAAAAGCTAACGGCCATCAAGGGTATTTTACTGATTTGTCTCGGTTTGCTTAAATAGGAGAATGAACAAAATGTCCTTGCTTGTTTATGGTTCCTAATTTTGAATAGAGACAATTTTTTATTTTTTATTTTTTATTTTTACTATATATATTCAAGTAGTAGTCCAATGAAGCAAAGCTTAAAAAATAACAGTCTCAATGTTGAATAGGATGATGGATATCTTTAGATAATTTGATACTTTAATTCGCA